AAAATGCATGTATGTAATATTAAGTAAAAGGGGAGCAGGATAAACAATTTTAAGTACACTAAAATACTTCTGTTTCTCTTCAGATGGTATAAATCTTTCACCTTTTAAGTACACTAAAATCACAACTAAAGTAAAATCCATTTTTAAAAAAAGGATAGGAGAGAAAACCCAACAATGAATGTGGATGCGTTTGGATGAGTAGATTATCAAATAATTGTTTTTCTTTTTTCCTCCAAATTTCTGCAAAATTCCTATTTATTTTCATAATTTAAATAAATTATCTACCTTTTTTTTTTTTAATTGAGACAGAGTCTTCCTATGTCACCCTCACCATCACAGCTCACAGCAACCTCCAACTCTCGGGCTTAAGCGATTCTCTTGCCTTAGCCTCCCAAGTAGCTGGGACTACAGGAGCCCACCACAACGCCTGGCTTTTTTTTTAGTTGTCATTGTTTGGCAGGCCAGGGCCAGGTTCAAACCCACCTAGCCACTGAGCTACAGCTGCCGAGTCATCTACATATTTTTAATATGTCCTAGTTTTCTATTTATATTATCAGAATGTATTCCAGGCATACCTAACAAGACCACTAATACCAGCTGGAAAACTCAGGAAATAATATTCTGCAACTCTCATCTTGTGTGCTATGTGTAACTGGATGACTTGATAGTTCATTATGGCAGGAAGATAATATGAAAATAAAAATCTTCCCCTAAAGAAAGTTGTAACTCAAAATGCACTTCATATATTTTGGGCTGGTGAAAAGTGAATAAGTACTAGACAGTCCATAAATATCTAAAGAATAAATGATTAAACCAAAGCAGAAACTGAATAGAATATGAGACTATCTCACTAACCTATAAATCCCTTTGGATTAAAGGGTTTTCTTTTAATGGTATGTTAGTAAGTCTGATTTATAGTAGGAAAAAAATGTATAATGTATAATAATGTTTTTAAACATCAGTATTCAAAGTCAGGGAAGTTTTTGCGTCCGAAAACATCCATTCCTGACAGTCAACTCAGTTAGTTAAGCTGACACCGCATTCAGACTCTTCCCTCACACTTTAGTCAGATATGAAGCACAGGGGTCTATACTCAGGATACAGAAAGCTGCTAATATTCCTAACATTTAATTTTTTTTAATTTTTTTATTTTTTAGAGACAGAGTCTCACTTTGTCACCCTCGGTAGAGTGCTGTGGCATCACAGCTCACAGCAACCTCCAGATCTTGGGCTTAGGGGATTCTATTCCCTCAGCCTCCTAAGTAGCAGAGACTATAGGTGCCCGCCACAATGCCTGGCTATCTTTTTGCAGTTTGGCCGGGGCTGGGTTCGAACCTGCCACCCTCAGTATTTGGGGCCGGCGCCCTACTTACTGAGCCACAGGCACCACCCAACAGTTAATTTTTGTATTGCTAAAAATTCCAATGCTTTTATGGGCATAATCTAGGCTAAGGCAACCAAGAGTTTTAAAAGGGAGTCCTTAAATCCTTTCTGGCAATGTCACTTTAAAACAGAGAAAAGTGTCTACTTGCCAAACTTAGATTAAAGAAATTAAATCCTTTTGAAAAAAATCAGTAAGCGAAAAAGATTTCTGACTTACATTCACTAAGTCAGCAGCATTACTACAAATAAATACCCAACAAGAGGGGGTTGAATAGCGATGGCCTACCTGACCCCAGGCACCTCAGCGTCAGCATGCAGCAGTCTTTTATGAACATCTAGTGGAATGGAACTTAAATTTTTGTGGCAACTTCGCAGTCCTGGGAAATATGGCTTTTTGACACATTCTTTGACCTCTTCTAGACCAAATGCTGTGGTGTATTCTAATTTAAAATATTATCACAGTCATCTTGATTAAATATATACTTCTACTACATATTAAAATGCATAAAAAATAAACAAAAATTGGCTGTTAGGTAAAGAAAATTAAGAAACTACAGAGCTGGGCACAGTGGCTCATTCCTGTAATCCTAGCACTCTGGGAAGCTGAAGCAAACAGATGGCCTGAACTCATAGGTTCGAGACCAGCCTGAGCCAGAGCAAGACTTCATCTCTAAAAACAGCTGGGTGTTATGGTGGGCGCCTGCCGTCCCAGCTGGGGAACCACTTGATCTCAAGAGTAGTAAGAGGTTGCTGTGAGCTGTGATGCCATAGCACTCTACCAAGGGCAATAAAGTGAGACTCTGTCTCAAAAAAAGAGAGAAGAAAGAAGGAAGGAAGAAAATTAAGCAACTATAATTTATCTAGCATCTTTCCCAGGAGAATTTTTCAATTCCTACCATAGGGACTATAAGAATCACTAGATTGGTTACTTATTGAGAGTTAAAATAAGAAAAATAACAACTTCACAGACCTTCCACAGTCCTGTCATCTACCATCATCACTTTATTTAACGAGAATTCCCAGAATACTAGTTACATTCATATTGAAATAAGAGGCATTTGGGGCCCAGCCCAGTGGCTCATGCCTGTAATCCCAACATTCTGGGAGGCCAAGGCAGGCAGATTGCTTGACTTCAGGAGTTTGAAACCATCCTGAGCAAGAGTAAGACTGTCTCTAATAATAGCAGGGCATGGCTTGGCACCTGTGGCTCAAGTGGCTAAGGCACCAGCCACATATACCTAAGGTGGTGGGTTTAAACCCAGCCTGGGCCCACCAAACAACAATGACGGCTGCAACCAAAAAATAGCCAGGCGTTGTGGTGGGCACCTGTAGTCCCAGCTACTTGGGAGGCTG